AAGTTTAAATGATTGTTCATGTTAAATATGCAGAACTAATTCAACCAAAGATGTAAACATTTCATATTTGTGTTGATCTGCAGTTGCTCCTCATGTTTTCCAGCTAAATACCTGATTAAACTTTAATAGCTTGCTTCATTCTTGGGGTGAAAGTATCTTGTTGAAGCTAATTTGTTACATGGTTGCTTGTTGTGTTTTCATTCAAAGAGATCTCCACTGATGTCACAGTGGTGCGCCCGTTCTGGCTTCCTCTTTGGCCATCCTTGAGGCGTGAAATGGCCCCACTGGGTCCCTGTAGAGTCCTGTAGGGCCACAATAGGCCCAAGACATCTGTGTGGTTCAACAGAAGGCAGGGCTTGAGTAGACCGGAACATGTCTATGGACCTCCCACCGGCCTACACTTAAGCCCCACTACAAAAGCCTGGTTGCCACTTAACAATAACACAGTCATGCACAAGTGGGGACACACTCGCACTCAAACACTGGCACTTAAGTAAGTGCCAAAAAAAAAGCAAATATATTTTCGTAAATCAATGCAGAGACCCGTTTCTTTAGTTACTGTACTTAAAGGGTAACCCGTGTTTTTTAACCTGTGCCTAACTAACACAATTTCAGAAAATTGTCTATTATTGAGGAAGAATGCTGTAGACGGCAGCCGCTAATGGGATGCTAAGTAATCCTACGGGGGCCAGCTGGCACAAAAAGCGCTTGTTTTGGAAAAAAGGGTCCAGGTTGAATAAAAAAACAAAGTTACAATTTAAGTATGTTTGGCAAAAGAGTATTTTATGACCTTTTTTAAGCTGCAGTAAAGGTTTGATAGTGATGTCTTAACATATGTTGAAAAGCCTTGACCAAACCAGTCCATGAACTTATCCATATTCTGGGTACACAAGGCTGTATGGATGTCAGGTGGTTGTGGGTCATTTTCATCCAAACCACTTTGGCCTAATTTCATCTGGTATAAGGAAGGTTTTTGTCTACATGTGCTTGTGTTGTCATTTTGTGCTTTAAAAGGTACCGACCTGTGCTTGCCAAGCTGAATGGAGTGGCATAGCTGGGGGTGTGGTAATGCAGATATGGTAGTGAAGTGCCATTTCAGTTTTAATTTTGGCATTTAATTGTGAGTCCACTAAGACTTAGCACATATGTCTTCAACTTTCTTACAAATTGCTCAACAAGTACGCATTTTTGTTTTGCGCTTTTGCAACAAATACCTGCAAAAACTTCACAAGTGCATTGAGAAACTCATGTTGCTGAATTTCACAAACAACCAAGGCAGACAATGCCTTGTTTCCTGTCAGTACAGGCCAACCGGACTTACAGCCCTTTATAGAACTGTTAGGATGTCTGCAGGTACAGAAAATGAACTGCTTGAGGTTTGTGCCCACTGCTCAGGTTCACAAAAAAATTGCATAAAGTTTAGTTTTTCTAAATATTAGGTGATGGGAGTCTGGACAAAAGTGATTTTATTAACAGCTGATATCAAGAGAAAATCCTCTTATCAATGTTAATGGAAGACTCAGTAACTGAATGCATGTAATAGACTTGCATTTCTAAAGCGCCTTTTTGGTCTTCCGACCAAAGTGCTGTACACTACATGTTATCATTCACCCATTCACACACACACATTTAAACACAGATGGCAGAGGTGATGCAGCAGCTGTATGCATGTTCCCACTCATCTGACATTCCTCAAGAGCAAAACAGCAAGACAGAGTAAAGCACACATCCTTAAGCCAATGAACATTTCCTTATTTTCTGTAACTACGGCTTTTGTCATTGAATGAGACTGTGGAAACAAAAAGAATACATGCATTTGTGTCATTGAGCAAAAGCTTACACAATCTTTTGCAATATCTAGATATTTGCTGAAACCTTTTTAAGCCAAAATGAAATTAACCAACCTAATAGGCCTATTACTTCCATTCACATGACCTTGGAAAATGGATTGATTGACAAATCTCTGGGTGTTATGCAATGGCATTAGCCAGTAGCATTATGGTAAACTAATTAGGCCTCTCAGGTAACAGGGAGCAGGAATAACTTTCACCTTGATGCAATTCATCATTACATCACACTAAAATCCTTCAGAAGTGGCCCTCCTTTATACATGACATTTAGAGAGACTGTTACACAATATCCTGTCACGTAAAACCTTTTAGTGCAAGGGCCGGATGGTGAGCACAAACGTACATGTCAACTGGGAAAAGTGACAAGGAAGATAAAAAACAATTCATGTTCTGAGTGTTGAAATAAGGAATTAAGCAGTTACTTCTTAGTGCTGTGACTCTGACTGTTCATTGGTGTTTTCCTACAGATTATCCTATTCGGTTTACTATTGCTGACCCTTTTGCATTCATTAAAAACCTAATCATCTTATATCATGGAAATGAGGAACTGCCTGAAGAGTGTCATTCATTTCAGGGTTTGGGGTCTTATAATTGATTCTTTGTTCAATCTTTATCATTTTGGATTACTCTGCTAATCTGTGCAACTACAATCTACAGCTCAGTTCAAACGTCCTAATCTGAAATCTATTCGACAGAAAACATTGAGTCCTTAATGAATGGACTCTGGGAAATGTTTTGCAGGCAGGTATGATGACAGATTCGTTTGTTGTCCTCTTTCTGTCTAGCTATCTGCCCTGATTCCAGATGCCCTCTGACCTACCAAAAAGGCATGCCACTCATTCCAGACTCTGTCCGCTTCTTCTTAGTCTTTACTGAGTCAAAATGTCCATACCTCCTAAATTAATAGGCAATTGTATTCATCATTTTTAACGTCATGAAACATTGAATCTAGAAGCATGAGATGAATCACCGAACAAGACAAGTCTAAAGGTTTTACTGTTTGCAGCAAGAGAGAAACTTTTTCTATGGTAAACTGGAATCCTCAGAGCTGTCAATCATGAGCAGATGAAAAGGCTGGAAGTCCACACTTCTGTGCAGTCTCAATGGTGCAGTATCTGTTACTGTCTTGTTGGCATTTCATACCTTTGGCCTAAAGGAAGGGATCAGAAAAAGATGGCCACTCGAAGCTTCGGCCCCTTAAAAGTTCAATTCATACACCTTCACTGCCTCAAGAAGATCGGTCTTAAAAATAGGGAAGGGGGGGGGGGTAGTTATAGGGGGTTCTGGAGGACAACAACCTGACAAAGCAGTGATCGTTTTGATGATGTCTCCAATAGAAAGTGTGCACAAAGACTGTGAGTGATAGCTGGGTTTTCTCAGTGGATACTCAGTGTTTTCCCCTCCAGCTGTAAACATGCTTAAATATGTCATGTGATCATAGGGATGACATGGGGGGGAAATGTCAACAAGGCTATTAGGTTTCAGGATGCCTGATGCTGCACAGAGCTGACATACAGTCCTTGAGAGCCTGCCCTGAGTGTTATTAGCTAATGTATATGCGTCATCAAGGATCACATACCGCATTAAAGTGAACGTCATGTGCTATAGTAAATAGAACATTAAATCCTAGTTGGTTTTTGCAAGGCAGCTTAAAACCACTTCACCACCAGAAAGCTCTGGAATAGTTTGCATAGGGTCCCAAACTACTACTACTATATCAAATATGTCAAAAATTGATTGGTGTGTTCTCAAATGGCATAGAATATTGTTACGGCCATATATGAAATACAGTATAAAACATTATGTAGTCAAGATCATTTGTTCAAAATATATAATTTAAGGCAACTTCAACACTAGAAGCTTTTTCATGATTTAGTTTAATTAACAGTTAATGGCATGTGGACATAAACACGCTGACTAAGAACACCTACAGCTCTCTTGGTACAGCTCACTGCGTTCCTGCCCTTTATGGCCAGTAACACACATGCATGAATTCACACACAGTCATAATGGTTTACAGATGCATTTCCTGTTAAAGCCACAACATTCTTCCTACATTGTGAAGAAAGAGATCAAATGAAAAGAGGTGAAATTAGTGACAGGAGAGCTGTAATTAGATCCTGTTTTAATTCTTTGACACACTTTTCTTTCCTTTTTCATGTGACAGTGGGCTATGTAGCAACAGCCTGAAACATCCTGTTAGATATTTATCACCTGGTGCTCTCTACTTCAATAGAGAGCTCAGGCCACAGGGCACTGACCCCTGGGCTCTGTGGGAAAACTGGCTTACCTCTTTTGAAAAGAAGCACACCAACACCTGTCCTGAGTTTAAAAGCGCAGATATTTTAAACATGATGCGGCTCAATGTCATGTCACTCGTGGCCCTTAAAGATGATCACACCTCTCTTAAAAACACTTTGAAGCATCCTGAACCTGAAGATGATATTAGGCTTCTGAGGCCAACATTCCTCAAGGGCAGCTCGGTTAGTCAATTTTCTTTGCTGCTGCTCTTATGTGATAGAGGCCTATCTGTATTATTTAAAAGCCAGCTTGCCAGGGAGTTGGAAGTCTATTCTAATGCACTCAGTCCTGCATGTGCGTACAAGCAGCTCATCAGTTATACATGGGCAAAACCCAGTTTTCAAGCCACTGTGGTGGATGCAGGTAAGAGTCCGACACAGAAATGTATCCACGTACATGCACCGACTCAAAAACACTTGCCGTCACATAAAGCACAAGAAAAACCTAAATGTGACACAAACCTGAAAATGATCATCTTAAAAATACCACAAGAAACATCTGAACTAGTCGGTGTCTGTTTCTCTGAGCTGCAGCATCCCCACACATCCAAGAGATGCTGTCCATTGATCTGTTAATCAGAAAAACGGTTCACTTTGCAGAAGCCTAGCAGCCTATCCCGTCTTTTCTCTGAGATAATGACAATGCACCCTTTCCCCACCCTGTTGTGTATCTTGTTAAAGAATGAGAAACTACATGTGCTTGGAGTAATTTGAACTGTATGTTCTGGAACAAATCATACGCATATGCACGCAATCACATACAAAACAGAGGCAAATAAACACGTGCATGTACTGTACAACTATAAACATAGATACAACTGCTGTGTCAGTCGCTGCCTTCGTCTCTCACCAGCTTGTCGACTCTCTCGAGCGGGCTTGCTCAGCCGATCGAGGGCTTTGGAGGTAGAGGACCTGATGTGGTCACTGAAGGACCTCTGCAGCAGCAGCAGCCTCATAGAGCGAGACATGCCGTTTAGCATCCACCGAAATGTATCTAAGTCAGACCTTGTTCCTACACCTATTCCTGTCACTGATCAGATGGATTGAGCTTTTGTGCCATCTTAATCCCACCTCTTTCCACTGCTCTTATTTATCTATATTTCAGCATTCAATCGTGACTGGTTTCTCCATCCAACTAGCTCTGTTCTGTCCTCTGTACTGGTCTGGGTTCTGCCTCCTTCTCTCTCCCACTCTGTTCTGTTCTAGTCTGAACTGTACACTCCCGTCTGCTGCAGTGAGCATCAGTGCAGTTACTGCTGGGACACATCCAGCCAGTGCTGCAATGTTCTCATATTCTATTCTACCAGTGTGTGTGTGTGTGTGTGTGTGTGTGTGTGTGTGTGTGTGTGTGTGTGTGTGTATACGTATATGTGTGTAAGTGTGAGTGTAAGTGCTTTCCGACACAAGCTCGAGCACTCTATGTGGATATCTGAGTGATTTAGAGTCAGCCATCTTCATATCCCCTCCCTATCTTTTTTTGTCTCCACATCTTTTTTTTTATACCTCTCTTCTCTGTCACCTTCCTTCTCTCATCCACTCTGTTTACACCCACCCTACCCTGTCTAGACACAGAGAGCATCAATGCCAGTTATATAACCAATTGCCCAGGCAGCCTGCTTGTTATGAAGATCCACCTGTCCTTGTTCACAAACAGCTAAAGACATCAAAAAACTGAAACCAAAAGACAGAAAGTGAGATGATGAAGGGGTCACTCAGACAAAGGATACAGATATGTCAAGAGTGGAAAAATGCTGGGGTTTAAAATTGTGCACTTGCTGGTTTCTGCTGCACATCAGGAACCTCTCTGTTACTGCCCACAGTCAGTAATTATTCTCCTGAGCCATGGGAAATGGTCCAACACATGACATGACTTGACTGTAAATACATTGCGGTAGGAATAGGGTATGCAGTGCACACATACAAACACACACTCACAAACACAAGTACATTAGATATTGAGAAACAGATATGTACTGTAAACCTTATGTAACAAACTTAAGCTACTGAAATGGACAAAAACACCACAATGGAATCCACTACTTAGACTGCTGCTGAGTTGATCGGATAATGCTGATTTAGCTTCTATTAGCCAAGTGCAACTCTCTGGGGTCTGTGGAGAAGCTCAGTCATTGGCTACGCACCGGCTGAAAAACAGCAACTTCAGGATCTGCTGTATACGGGCTTTTTACACTGTGGCTTTTTAGAAGATTCATTAATTTGCTCTTGAAAACGGAAATACATATTACATTAGTATTATTCTTCATACAATTTAATACAATCATTACATCATTAATGTGTTTATATGGCAAGTTGATTGTATGAGTTCATATGTGTGTGTTGTTGTGAGTACTATGAGCTCCTCTTCCGATTACCCTCCATTACATTCCACACTAAGCTCACACTTGGGAAAGTCAGCCAATCGTGCTGATTGCTCCAGCAAGTGAAGGTAATGTACCCAGCATTGGCTTATTGCAGCCCGCTGATAGCATTGTGCTCATCGCGGCCAATTGACTTTATGGTCTTCCGAGGTTTGCCGAGACTGATAAGGCTTAGATTCCCGCGTCTGTGCTTTTTCACAGCCGTTTAGCCTGCACTTCTGCAATTTTGGAATGACCTTGTTAACAATGTTGTAAATTAGGATTAGGATGGGATACAGAAAAACAAACATCCTATAAAAGTATCACTACTTTAGTATCCTCGCTCACACACCTAACGACTAACATGAATCACACTACAATCTAGGTCAGTAGTCGTATCACAACAGCATATCCGTGTACTTTCCCTCTCTGTCTCTCTGGTATACCTGTGATAAGGGGGCAATACACAGACAGTAACCTGGATATGAGGGAAAATGTCCTGAAGGGTGGAGTTCTCATACCTCAGGAAGCAAAGTCTTGCCAAATGCCCCCTCTGTCAAACATGTGTGCAGCATGCCAGGAGTCTGTACCTACATCTAACTCCATAGAACAGAGGCAAGAGAGGGTTACCTGCCAACATTCTGGCCTAGAAATGAATACAGGGGAGGTGAAACACGAGGGCGGGGGGGTGATTTCTGGGTGGACTTCAAACAGTGTATATAAACAGTATGTGAGAGCCTATTATCAAAATGTCTGTGAAAAACAATGCACCATGCTCTTTACAGCACGGCCAAAAATGTGTCTGTATGCTGAAGCACGTATGTGTGGGTGTGCCTGAGTGTGACTGTAATTGTGTGTGAGTCCCTTTGATGTGACCATCTGCTTGAGGTCTTACTCTGCTATCAAACATACACTCCCTAACCCTTACTGTCTGCCCTTCTTTTAAAGACTCTGTTCTGACTATCTGATACCTTTGCACCTTGTGTATGTGTGTGCACCAGTTAATTCAAGAACTAAAAAGAATGCTTCCAGTAAGATATCAGACAAACAGACACCTCAAGATCAAATCAAAACACAAATATCCCAACATTTAGTGTATCCAAACAATTCACATCTCCTGCGACAATCTCTCACCCAAACGAGGCGAATAAACCAGCCAGGGAGTGACAGAGCCTGCTGAGCCAAGACTGATTCATTAGCCTGGGGACAGTGTGGGCATCTCCCAACATCCACTCTGGGAGATTTAAGCTTTCTTCATACTCGTGCTTGGCACCGTAGCACAAGCTTCCACGGACGGTGCACAAGCTCCGAGCATGAACGGAGGCGTTTATACTCTATGCACTGCATTATTCTCTGAACTGTGAGCAATCAAAAATACAACAAAGTGTAACCCATAGATATGCCCATAGACTGTAGGTGTAACCGGCAAAACACCATAAACCGACCTCCGCAATGCCGAGGAGGGATTTTAATTATCCGTAAACTCATATCTCACAGTCATGGACTCCTGTATTGCCTTTGTGCAAGCCCTGTAAAGAAACAAGTTAAGTATTAAATGCATTATAAAGAAACAAAGGTTTAATATCCTGTAAACAATTTGATTTGGCTGTTATCAGTGAACTATTTGTGACAGTCACGTGATCGCGTGCACCATGTACAAAAATTCAGAAGTGCATAACCAAGCGTCGCAACAACTTGCACCACACGCCGGCTGAAAAATAAAGCTGAGGTAAGAATGACACAAGCCCTCTTAAGACTTCTTTCTTTGGAATAGGGGATACTTTTGTTGTAACTGGGAGTTCAGCAAGCTAACTTCCTGTTATAAATTCCCCTTCATGCAGTGGTTTCCTGTTCAGTGCACCATAGCTAGAGAGATGGATTCCCAAAGAAAGAAGTCTCAAAACTCACAAAGGAGATAAGAGGGTTCTGAGCTTTCACTCAAGAAAATTGGTGATACGACGGAGATGAGACATACGTTTTGTTTTTTTCAAAATTATTCTTTTCCAGTCTGAGGAAATGTATCTTTTGAGCAAGAGACACATATTATCAAGATATGTTAACATTAAGTCTGAATGCACAGAGGCCCACAACAAAACAATGTCTAAAACATCAAACTTTTTCCCAACTTTTTGAAACTTCAAAATATCAAGTATACACCAAGCATAAAAACATAGAACGATTTGCTTCTAAGGGGAACAGTTCAATTACACCTGTACATGTATTCACAGCTGAGTTGGAAGTGTGAAATATAAAAGGAATGAACTCCAACATGTTACAGTACTGTACCAGTCTCTACACAGGAAGTGTGTCAAATGGGAGGGGAAAGGAGGGGCTGATTGGGGGGAGGTGTTGAGGCTGGCGTAGACTGACGGGGAGGCCAGGAATGTGACCTTGCACAAGCACAGCAGCTCCTGTACTGTGTATGGAGGGGTGGCAAAAAGTGGGCTAAGACGACAATCAAAGAGCAGGACCAAGTAACAAAAAAAAAAGGAGAAAGTTGGACGGGTCAGAAAAGAGGAAAGCAAGTCATTCAGTATGAACGCTGAAATTGATTTCACTGTGACGTTATCTGAATTAAGTAGGAATTGGTGTTGAAATTAGTTGAGGACTGTTCGAGTCATAAAGGTCAATCACAAGATCTGTGGATGAAAAGGCATCTGTACTGAAAGGACTTTGTTAGTTGTTTACCCTGGTAACCAAGTTAGTCAATTATAGCAGATATTCCTCACAATCACATCTCTATATCAGTTTTTATTTATCTTTTTATATTAAATATTGAATGGATAAAAATACTTTCTTTTAGACAAAAGTCAGATGAGAAGATTATTACCGCTCTCATCTATGCCACATAACTATGAAGCCAGAGCAAATAGATGGTTGTCTTAGCTTAGCATAAAGACTGGAAGCAAGGGGAAACAGCTAGCTTGACTAGCACCATATCTTCTACATTTCTTTTTGTTTACTGATTTAACATTAAAGATGTGTTCATTAGGCAAATGAACAGGTGCTGGTAGGTATTTCTTTGCTTTTGACAGAGCAGGCTAGTCGTTTACCCGTTTCCAGTTTTTATGCTACGCTAAGCTAAGCTAATCAAATGCTGGCTCTACCTCCATTGTTAGTGATATTCAACTCCTCATCAAGCTCTCAATAAAAATTAAAAAAAAAAAAGAATATGAGTATTTCCCAAAATGAACTTTAAAAGTGAAGTGACTTCTAAAGAAACTATTTACTTTAGGTACACAGAATGGTGTTGTTTTTATATTCTTGAAAGGTGAGCAACAGTCAAGCTGATGCACCAACAGAGGGGACTTTTCAAAGTGCATAATAATATGATGATGAATACTGGAATCCTCACAGGTCAACACTCAGGCAAAGGCGTCATTTTGTGTATTGGAACTGTAAAAACACAGCTGCATTTAGAATCAACTTTAAATAACAGTAACATGTGTTTGTCACTGGATTTCCAAGAAGGGAAGGATGGTGACTAGAATGGAAATGAGGGATGAAAAGAGAGAAGGAAACCAAAAGGAGAGGCAGACGGACAGAAATGATGACGCAAATTATTCACAGGAACCACCAACTCCCAAGTGTCCTTCCCTACAGAACTCCACTGAGGGTGCTAAACCACTTCCTCTTTCCTTAGTTATCCTTTCCTACACCTACAACCAAGGCAAGTGCTGACTATGAGGCTATGAGTCCAGGTCAAAGGTCATGCTTAACGCTGCTGCTGGTTGGAAGCTCATCATCGTGAAATTTAAATAGTTCGAAACTATATGTTTTTTTAAAAGGGAATATTTAAATGTAATTTTTGGCCAATTTTGACAGCCCTACTACATACCTTCAAGGTTTTTTTCCTGTTTGCATTTCCATCGCTAATAGGAACGCTGAAGTGACGTAAGCCAGCCGGCGTCGCTCGCACAAATATCCAGCTGGAAGGACAACAAGCAGCGAGTTTGCTGCATTCGCTACAAGCACTTTTAGCTTTTTTTGCAATATCAGAATAAATAAGCAACTCGGTTATATGCCACAAACATAAAAAAAAAAAAGCCAAATAGCCATCTGGAAAGTACCTGCTGCAACTTTAGCTTGAATGGCCCTCTTCGGCTTACTGGATGTGCTTTGTGCTACACTGTTATCTCGCTGAGTGTTTGTTTTTACATTTGTTTAGTGTTGTTTGTTGCGGACGACAAGAGCACTGTGAAATAAACTCAACCAATACTAAATAGATAGTAGGTCTAAAGTCAACCCTGTATTTTATCCACCACAGAGGAGATGATTTCAATATGATATTGCCTCTTCTGTCCTTCTCTGTCCTTCACTTATACAAGGTAAACCTGTTAACTTCCTGGATCAGAGGATGTGAGGTCACAGAGCTAAGCAAGCTGCCTCTGAAGATAAGCAATGGATGAATTGAAGTCCTGTGCTTTCTGTAAAACACAAATTACCTCTATATAAATCAGCCTAGATACTACTAAAGTATATGTGCATACTAAAGAGACACGGAACTGAATAATGAATGTATTATGTTGTCTTCTTTGTCTTTCTCAAACCTTTTTTGGTTAGTTCCCACTTTTGCCTGATGGATTTCTCCATTGTCCATCTGTTTCCTCAATATGAACAGCCATGAGTTTGCCACAATAGACTCGAGGAGGGAGATATTGAGATGCCTAGCTAGCGAAAAATGTATAAAATATCAAATGTAAAAAAAAAAAAAGACAATACCATTCATCATTTAACACTACTATACAAAAAAAACCTTCAGTAAGTCATATGATGAAAGTTTAGATAAAAAGATTAGAATAGGGTTCACCCCAAAATCTATTCATTGTGATGCTTTAACATAGTGGTAACCAAGAGGCAGACAGCACTAAGTAGATTTCTTTCGGGCTTTCTTTAAATCTCATTTCATTGCTCCTAGAGTTTGATTTCAATAACAAAACAAACGCATCTCTCCTCACATCACATGCATCATCTCCTAGACCGTGCCCAACCGATGACAAGGACCGTCATGCAAACACTTTGCATGACGGTCCTAATCATCTCCAGATGGTAGGTAGTATGGTATAAGTTATGTCATTGCCATTCCAGTGCAGTTGCACTCTGCATGCCCCGTGGAGCACAAGGCTCAGACTATACAGCATCACAGGAGCCCCATAAAAAACACATCTAAAAAACAGGTTGTCAGTTGTAACATGCACATCCTCTTTGTACACAGGAAAGCCGTGACACTGACCGCTCACCAAGGTACACCCTGCGCCGCAGGCAGGTCATCAACTGAGCCATTACAAAGCCTGAGCTGTGGAAACTTCTTGTTGATCACTGGTGTGCTGCTGTTGTCACAGAGATAGTAAAATTAACCATGAATGAGGTTTCTTTCATGGCAGTGCAGCAGAAGCCTTTAGGGCATGGTGTGTGATGTAACACTGTCACAAATGTGTCATTCCCAGGGGCTTAAATGGTGGCGATACAGAGGGGGCTTTGAAGTGTCACAATGAACACTGGGCTTTGTGCTCCATCAAGTCCCCCAAAACTTCGCCAATTCCAAAATCGTAGCCCCACCCCCCTCCAGCATCCTGGGTTCCATCACACGGACCCAGAGATGGAGGTTACATAACTTGCCTATAGGAAGTCAGACTGATTTAAATGAAGAAAAATTACCAAAGACATTTGACCCTTTTGAAGTTGGCACTGTGCGATTTTGCAAGCTTAAGCCTCCTTGTAAAAAAGTTTAGAGTGGGCCTTTTCGCCAAAATGTAGTGCTCACATATGCACACACACAAGAACAAACATACTGACAGCTTCTGCACATTTCCCATGACAGATTTTCAGCAAAGGGCCAGTAATTAGAGTGAGAGACAGAATGAGAGTGAGTGAGGACTCCCAGCAGGCTTTGAGACAGCGGGGGGGAGGAATATGAAAGCCTCGTACCCACGTCCAGCCACCTCTCTGGTATTGTTTACCAGCGGACTGACAACACAGGGGGGTGTTTAATGAACACTTCTCCCCTGCCGGCTGTCTGAAAGTAGGTCTGTCCATCCAAAGTTTCCTGATGACCCTGTGCATTACCGGCAGACTGCTGACACAGAGGTCGGAGCCAGGATGGATGGGCCACTACACATCGAGTTTGTTCTATTTATAATAGAAGTGTGCAAAGAGGATGACGGCGAGCTTTGCAAAGTAATGAAATTACATGTCAATACTGTGAAGGCTTTTCATCAGGAAGAAGTCAGATGAGGATTGATAATTGTAGGCCAACAAATACTACACAAGTCCAGTCACAAAATAAGCATGTTTGCAAGGGTGTGTATTTGGATGGATTTACATATTTTTGCTGCCTATTCTTAGTTGCTTTCTATACCAGAATATCTTTTTGATCACAGAAACATCTTATCAGGAAGGAAAGTATGACGTGAGGGCAAAAGGGAAATAAATACAGTTCTAAAGTTCTTGTCATCGTTCACGACATCCAGTCTGGCTCTTATCTTAGAAAGGCGACTGGCTTGATGATTTTGTAGATGAGTTGACAATCTTATCTACATTCACATCCAGTGTCTCATAGAGAAACAGAGCCTGTCCTCCTCCACTCAATCCCTCCCTCCTTACTCTTGTGAACACAAGACGAGATTATCAATCAGAAAGTGTGCCTTAGAATCTCTTCACATGACGCCAGACCAGACCTGGACCGGATCAAACACTTTTTCCAAACACGTGACAAAATAGTGAAAAAGAAATCTAACAACACACAACCTATTATTTTGAGTCTCAAGGTCTGTGAGTTAACTGAACACATGAGAATGAAATAAAAAACAGCGAGGACTCACCAGCTTTTTGTGTCTCAGGAACGGTAGAGGTGCTCTGGGAAAGAGAGTAGAAAAAAGATTGTAGTTCAAAAGTAGCTGCATCATTCTTCAAACTCAGTCAGTAAAATCCCTTGATCTGCCGCCATTTAACAATGTGTTTTGTGACACAAATGAATGAAAAGCATAGTGAAGCCTAGTGAAGGAAAACATCAAATAATAGTATTCATGCAGTGCTACGATGCTGTGTTAGCTATAATTATTTTGCATGTTCTCCCTCCCAATCGATGGATATATTCTGATCTATTTGTCTTGTCTGTGTGTATTTCGAGTCTAATTGTGTATATTAATCCTTGACGATTGTTGCACGACGATAATAAAACTATTTTAAGAATATTGTTTTAAATCAAAAGGAGTGTGCAGCTACAGTATTATGGTGCTACACACACCAAAATGACAAATACAAATTGGCCACATACACAAACACACCAAGGACAAACTCTGAATGCATAGTTTAACAAAGTGCAAACTTAGTAATAAATGGTCACAGCCGACAACAAACCCACCCGAGACTTGTGAACTAATGTAACATCATTAAAAGTCAGAGCACAGAGTGCACTCTCCTCTGATTCAATGTTGATCCAACCCTTATGTAGGTAGTCTGGAGAGACATTACTGATAAAATTGCAACACATTTTGTAGCCAAAGTAGATTCTCATCATTCACGTAATATTTCCTTCTTTGATGTTCTTGTGGGTTTTAAAAAATACAACTGATTTGAAACAAGGTTTCTGGTAAAAAATAGAGCATTTAATCAAGCAGTCATTTCTTTGGAAAAGTGTGTGTGTGTGTGTGTGTGTGTGTGTGTGTGTGTGTGTGTGTGTGTGTGTGCGCACGCGCGCGTGTAGGACAGCAGTCAATTGGAATGCGGAGGTCTTTCTTGCCTCTGACTTTTGACCTCAGGTTCCTTGGCTGACCTCCACACCCTGACCTGTTTTAATCCACACTCCCCTGGAACAGATCAGACAGGAAAAGGAGGATAGGGCACATACTCAATACAATTCATCCACTTTGTCCAAATAACCTTTGGTGTGCAAGATGTGTAAATATCAATTTTTTCTCCTGATATTTCTATTCAGATAAATGCCTCTTCCTTTGTGATTATTTCTTTCTCTTTAGGCCTAATTAAAGTGATTTAGCTGTGTCCTGCTGTGACTACTTTAAAGCCTGTTTACCCTTTAGCACCTACTTACACAACAGATTGAGAACAGCCAAAACCACACTGATTATCATCTTAAAGGAACAGTTTAACATTTTGGAAAATATGCCAAAGGTAACCTCTGTTATAAGGTTACAAAATACACCTACCAGCAACTCTAAAGCTCACAAATTGTTTATTATGACAGGTTATACCTTTCTTTAATTGCACTGGGGATATGTGCCCAATTTATCGACTGGGAGAAGTAATTACTGGAGTCTCCTCTGGTTGCTGTGAGGTTGACAACCTCACAGTGACGAAAGATCTCAGTGAGATCTCCCGACCAAGAAATAGTCCGACAGCTGGTAACGGCGCCATCTGTCTATCCATCAGCGGAAGGTGTGCTTATGCTTCGGTTTCTCAGCATTATGATCAATACTATAATTTTAACAGTTACAGTAAGTGTATTTTTCACAATCTTCCCCCAAAAAAGTCCACTGTGACTACACACTAAATTTTAGAAATCTGATTAACGTGAAGTTCTGTAGCTTTTGGGAATTGCTCCTGTGATTCACTTTCTGTGGCTGATAAACAGATAAGAATTTAAGATTAGAGCGTTAGTTTCATTATTATTCATTCTGACTTCACACAATCAGACTGTAGAGCATGTTATAATAGGAGAAAGAAACTGAATGATTCTGAAACATGTGACTATAGTCCATTCCCCTTACAAATATCAAGAGAGCTATTATATTTATTGATGCACCACCACAGACGTGACACAGTCTGGTGATAATACAATGCCCGCTCTCACACGTCTTTTTGCTGACATGTTGGCCGATTAACTCTGGATAAAGTCTTGTCTTGGTCCCAATCTGTCTCACTCAGATTTTGCAGAAGCCAATGAGTGAGCTGTCGGCACATACAAACTTGATCTAAAATCACTAGTGTGTATGTCTGCCGAGTTGTGTCTGTATGTGTGTGTGCGTATACAAGTGTGTGAACATGTATTTGTGCACAATGTGTGGGCAAAAACAGCATTTAATCACTTTATGGGTCAAGCTTCAGAGACAGAGTGGGTACAATTGTGGACAAATAGCTTTACAATTTATTGCGGATTAATGACCTAAAAAGAAACCGGGGAGAAGCCACAGCCAAAGCCTCCTATACTCACTCCTCTGTCACTAAATCACCAGCACAAACAGAACAACAACAGGGAGGTGAAATCAGAGATAGATTTATATTCAGTGCTGTTTCAGCTGTTGGACTTCGGAGTTAGCTCTGCTCTTTCAGCTACAGAAGTGTCCTCGCTGCATTCCCTTGTGTGCAAAACACTGTAGATAGTGTCAACCTGTTTAGTTTTTGCCTGTTTATCTATTGGATATAAACTGCCTCCGTTGGCAAACAGGTTAGATAAAGTGCATTTCCCCTACTTTCTTTTCTTTTCTAACCTTGTGTATTTTTCTCACTGTCAACAAATCATATGAAAAACCAACATTGAATTGATCCTACTAACAAGTGTGTCCTGAGTAGCCAAAGCCAAATATAATTTATTCATTTATTTGCCACGAACCTATTCAAACTGTGGTATATTTGAGTCAATGCCACATGCACCCTCTTGTTGCTGTAAATACTCATTAGCTCACCAAATGTGTCTTAATCCGCTGATGAAAATAGTCCATTAAAATGCCATTTTCCATTCTGTATGAGTAACATTTGCTGAAAACTGCCCAGCTTTTTTAAGAAGTTATTGAGTCTTTTCTAAAGGTTAAACTAAATATTTTTGACCTGTTTTTAACACTAACATTTTAAGTGGGAATGAATGGGCTTTGGGTTGGGTTGTGGCGGGGTTGCTAAGTATCAAGACAGATGGAGAAACACTGTTTGATTCAGACGTTTTGGGGATTAGATGCATACAATAATAGAGAATAGCACCAGCCTTATCCTTCAATTCCACTGTTACATTTAGAAAACAGTTGCAACAACTCATGTGTTGATTTATTCGAAAGGTTTACCATGGTATATTGTAGCACAGTGTTGTCAAAATGAGAAAACAAAATCAATAACTTTCTGTATATTTAATAATTAGCTACAACTTGCAGAACAAATGGCCTTGAATAATTGAATCAATATGGGAGGTCTGTGTGGCTTCTCTGCTTAGCACTAACAAGACATTTCAGTTCACCAGTGTGCGCCCTTCCTATTGTGTAAACACCACAACACGGGTTCCTGTCAATGACCCATGAAGTCACTTACACACAGTGTAAATCTCACCTTCACACAATGCTATGTTTTCCCTCATAATAGCAATTACAGTTGAATAAAGGTGAGTGAGAGACCACCGAGCCTAACAAGAATGTGAATGAATGGGTACCAGCAAGTGTCAGTGTTTTCATAGTACCACGGTTGCATATTTTCCCCATGTTTGCCTGCGTTCCCCCCTGGCATGCCACGGTGCAGGTTGTCCGGGCTGTGTCAGGTGTCCACTGGGGAGCTGTAGGCTGCAGAGCACACAAGCGTCAGCTGCCTCATTTACTGCCACTAATTTACTGGAAGTGGGTTGTGTGGGGGGCACAGGGAGTATGGTATGTGTTTGCTTTACACGTCTGTGTGTATGTGTGTGTGTGTGTGTGTGTGTTTAGTGGCTTGCAAGCATGTGTGCCTGCATGATTAACCACGGTAGGGTCATTATAGTCATTACTGTAGCAGGAAGCAAGCAAGTTTTACAACAAATCATTTTAGTTTTAGTAATGATTTTACAATTACCAACAGAATAAGTTAGCTATAGTTAGTTGTTTCAGAAATCTTGAAAGAAAAACGTTGACTGTGTTGAAACTAACAAGTAGAGCTGGGAATTTATTACGTTTTTTATTTACTGATGTCTAAACACAAGTAGCGACACAAAAAAACAATACTTTGATTTACAACATTTTGAATAAAACCAGTTAACATCCAGTTTTCCCTTTTTTAATGTAAGGTTGTTAAAACCATCTCTGTCTGACAGCATCAAATATATTGTATATCATGTTGTTCCATTTCTTTGTTGAAACCACATGATGTCTACACTGGCTAACATGTTCAAAACCAAGACTCCTTGTTGCCGTTGACAACAAATCAAATATAAATGGTCTTGCTCCTCATTTTAGACACATTTTCCCAAAATTCAGGGATCCCCTCTGGAATTTGAAATAATGTTCTGAGGGTTTGAACAAAGTTTGACCGCACAGCATGATTTTGTCCTCGCTCATTCACTGAAGTTTTAAATCAGGAAGTATTTGATCAAAGAATAAATAAAGAAGAGTATAAAGCTGACCAAATATTTAGAGTCAGCTTTTGGTACTTGACAAATGTTGATATTCACTAATATTTCGGTTGGTACCAAATAAAAAGCTTTGAGGTCAGTTACAGAACCATTGTGTACAGCTGAGTTCACATGCTTTTCTGTGTGAGTGAGTTAGTCAGAGATGTTAAGCAAACCATTGGCATGTGGCTCTTGCACAACAAATCCGAGCAGTCCACCATGCCTCTCTCAACCCAACAGCCACCCTCTCATCCCCAGCCCCCCTCCTGCACTGCAAGCTGCAGTATGTGTGTGTGTGTGTGTGTGTGTGTGTGTGTGTGTGTGTGTGTGTGT